CACACACACACACACACACACACACACACACACACACACACACACACTCACACACACACACACCCCATCAGCTTTGTTTCATCAGCTGCATCATCAGTCTGTGATGTCATCGCTGCCCACCCAGCCAATCACAGAGCACGTCTGCCTCCACTCGCTTCCTCAGAGTTTTACATTTCTGAAGCTAAAGAGAGAACGAGGAGCTGATTCTAAGTCAGACACACACACAGATGAGTGTGTTTTTGAGTTGTGATTGTTTGTAGCTCCTCACAGAAACGATCCAGTGGACAGAAATAATAATAATAATAATAATGTCATCACAATGTCAGCACTGTATGTTTCCATACAATGGCGAAATTAGTCTCTGCATTTAACCCATCCACCACCAGGTGGTGCAGTGGGCAGCTATTGAAAGCGCCCGGGGGACATTTTTGGGGATTAGACGTGCTGCCCAGAGACGCCACGTGATGTGCAGTGACTGGGGATCGAACCTGGGACTCTCGGGTCCCAAGCCGGCTGCCCTGCCTCTATACCATCTCGGCCCCACATGTCCACCTCAGTGATTTATAAGACTTTACAGAATGTTGTAAACATTTGTCCATCTTTACTGGCATACAGGTGCTGGTCACAAAATTAGAGTATCATGAAAAAGTTGATTTATTTCAGTAATTCCATTCAAAAAGTGAAACTTGTGTATTATATTCATGTATTACACACACACTGATATATTTCAAATGTTTAATTCTTTTAATGTTGATTATTATAACTGACAACTAATAAAAACCCCAAATTCATTATTTCAGAAAATTAGAATATTGTGAAAGGTTCAATATTGAAGACACCTGGTGCCACACTCTAATCAGCTAATAACTCAAAACACCTGCAAAGTCCTTTAAATTGTTTCTCAGTCTAGTTCTGTAGGCTACACAATCATGGGGAAGACTGCTGACTCGACAGTTGTCCAAAAGATGATCACTGACACCTTGCACAAGGAGGGCAGACACAAAAGGTCATTGCTAAAGAAGCTGGCTGTTCATAGAGCTCTGTGTCCAAGCACATTAATAGAGAGGCAAAGGGAAGGAAACGGTGTGGTAGAAAAAAGTGTAGAAGCAATAAGGATAACTGCATCCTGAAGAGGATGTTGAAACAAAACCCATTCCAAAATGTGGGGGAGATTCACAAAGAGTGGACTGCAGCTGAAGTCAGTGCTTCAAGAACCACCACGCTCAGACGTATGCAAGACATGGGTTTCAGTTGTCACATTCCTTGTGTCAAACCACTCTTGAACAAGAGACAGTGTCAGAAGCGTCTCGCCTGAGACTGCTGCTGAGTAGTCCAAAGTTATGTTCTCTGGTAAGTAAATGTTGCATTTCCTTTGGAAATCAAGGTCCCAGAGTCTGGAGGAAGAGGAGAGGCACAGAATCCATGTTGCTTGAGGTCCAGTGTCAAGTTTCCACAGTCAGTGATGGTTTGGGGTGCCATGTCATCTGCTGGTGTTGGTCAACGCAGCCGTCTACCAGGAAGTTTTAGAGAACTTCGTGCTTCCTGCTGCTGAACAACTTTATGGAGATGCAGATTTTATTTTCCAAAAGTAATCCAGGCAAAAGGAGCCCCAAGTATTGAGTGCTGTACACGTTCATACTTTTCATGTTCATACTTTTCAGTTGGCCAACATTTCTAAAAATCTTTTTTTTAATTTTTTATTAGTCTTAAGTAATATTCTTATTTTCTGAGATACTGAATTTGGGGTTTTCATTAGTTGTGAGTTATAATAATTAGGGATGCACCGATCCACTTTTTTAACATCCAATCCCGATACCTAGATCTGAGTATCGGCCATACCGATCCAGTTCCGATATTATGATCATCATTGATTTTATATGAGGCTGTAATAATCTCCTCTCAAGTACAATTTGTACAAATCTATGCATGCATGTCCAAAAAGGCAACTTGAGGTAAGTTTTATTAATGTTGGATAAATTCTAAAGTTAGAATTAAATTCTGCTAACACAAAACATGTTTCTTTTTATTCCTAGTTTTAAAGTGGATATTAAAGTGATTAGTTTTAGTGATTGTTTAGTTATTTTATATTTTTTTAAATAAGGGGCAGAGATAAGATTTTTTTTTTTCTTCTTTCTGAACTCTTTTCATTCAATGTTTTCTTTTTGATGATTTAAAAAAAATGTTTCTTTTAAATGAATGAATAAATGAATTAAATTAAATAAAATGTTAAATGGCTTCAAACATCTGCTAAGTTCATAGCATAAACCAACAGACATGTTCCTGTTTTTAGTATTTTACATCACTTTATAGTGTAGCTGTTTATGTTTTTAATATAATTTTCAAATATGTTTTTTATGATTGTCTACTGTTGTACTGATAAATATCTCCTGCAGGGTAAACTATATCTTGACTGCAAGTATCAAGCTGTGAAATCCTTTGTTTTCTACAAGTGATAGTGGTTGGTCATTAATTATGATTACGTTTAGAAACATCTCATTAAACATTTGAGCTCCGTGGTCTTCAAGTAGGTATCTCTGCAGGCAAATTCAGAAGGCGTATCTGGGCGATCATATCTGATTGGACTATATGAAAATAGGCGTGTCTGGCCGGCCGCATCTGATTGGGCGATAGAAAAATGGGTGTCTGGCCGGCCATATTTGATTGGACGATAGAAAAATAGGCGTGTCTGGCCGGCCACATCTGATTGGACGATAGAAAAAAAGGCTGAACGATAAAATGCCGTAACCACAGACACATTATGTCTAAAAACAAGGCGTTATTGGCAGATTGTGTTAACCACAGGCATGTTATGTCTATGGTGTTAACCGGTTCGACATTAGCGGCGTCTCAGGTTCAACACTGGCGGCGTCTCGGTTGGACATTGCTCCAGTATACTGCCGCGGTGTCTCCATAACTTCTTTTTTCGCCTCTCTTAACACAGAGCTTCTGGTTACATTTCAAAATAAGAGCAACATAACTGGGTAGTGGGGAGAGCTAAATGTTAGGGTTTTTTTAATACCTAGACTTAACATTAAAAAACAAATTCCATTTTGTTTGTTGAAAAATGTGAAAAAAGTTACAATCGATTCATAAAGAAAGAAAAATATAAATGATACTTAAACTGGCCTTGGGACAAAGGATGTTTCCTTTAACTTCACATTTTCTTGTTCAACTTGCAGTCACTACAGATGAGTGATTGTCAGTTTCTGTAAGATTTCTGCAACTGGAGCAGGTATTTCTGTTTACTGGTTAACTTCCTCAGCTGTCTCACATTTTAAAGGTCAACCCTACTCCATGTTTCAGTAGAAAACAAGCACATTTAGGAGTCCGTACATAACCAGACTTTTGGCCCTCACACATACAGGTCCTTCTCAAAAAATTAGCATATTGTGATAAAGGTCATTATTTTCCATAATGTAATGATAAAAATAAAACTTTCATATATTTCAGATTCATTGCACACCAACTGAAATATTTCAGGTCTTTAATTGTTTTAATACTGATGATTATGGCATACAGCTGTAGTGAACTAAGCCTCAGGTCAAAACATGACCCTGAAGACCTTCAGGGGACAAACTGTTATTTCATTGATTTGAATCCAGAAATACAAATTAAGCTCATCCAGAGACTTTCTAATTGTGTCCTGCACCAATCAATTGAAAGAACACTCTTTTTTTATATTGTCATTACTATTTTTACAAATGTCTTGATAATCAAAGTATGTTTAGTTCAAATCATTTTTAAAGGTTGAAATGAACCACTCATTTTAAATCAACTGTGAAACAGTATTAATGATTTTTTAATCCTCATTCAAAGTAGAAATCAAGTTAGATGTCTGTTACAAAGTAATTATGCATCTTTTGATCTTCTCTCTGAAATGAGAAGGAGTGATGTCGGTCAAAAGTCGGAGACAGTCGCAAACAAGTTTATTGGAACGAACTATCATGTTTTTAAAACCTATCAGACAGAAATACGAAACTGTTGGCACCTGTTTCCTCCCACTTCGCCAAAACATTTCTCTGTCTGTTCTTAAACATCTCCGCTGTTTTTCTGACTTGTAGTAACCTCTTACGTCACTAAAACCACACCCCTGTTGGTTCTTTCAACCAATCAGGACTCCCAGAAGGGACCGGAAACAGAACTCTTTAAATGTCGACACTTCCTAGTTCCAGTCAGTTCTGAGACATGGAACAGAAGAGTTCTGAGAGCAGAACCGAACAGAAAAGTTCTGAGAGCAGAACCGAACAGAAGAGTTCGGAGTTCTACACTTGAACCAAAGGGCTGGGAGCACAGCAGAACAAAAGTTCTGAAGTGCTGGAGTTAGTTGGGAGTTCTTCCGAGTCTAGTTGGGATTATGGAATCTTCCACATCTGAGTGGAACCTCTGATGGACTCACAGCTCATGTGAGTCCACCCGTGAGGTGAGCGTGTTGTTGAACGGAGTACCGTCACTACTTCGGACGATTCTCAGCCATCCTAAGGAGACGCTGAAAGGTAGCGTTGAAATGGAACTCCGTACCGGAGCTGGCCTATCTTCTGCAAAGGTAACGAGTCGCTTCACTACCGAGTGCACCGAGGTTGAGCTGGGTTCGGATGGAGGGTGTCGTTCTTCGTCAACACACTTCCCCTCATCCATCTTTCCTCTCCATTTAAACTCCTTCATTTCCCATCTTTAAAACTCTTCTATCTTGCCAGTAAAAGATAAGCTAAAAGTCTGCAGATATTGATTTAAGATCTAAGCATATGTCTGTTGTAATTAGTTGCAAGTGAGAAATCATGGCCGTATGATTTCTCATTGTAAAGCTCATTAATTAAGCTGTGTTATTGCGTTCAATCAGAATAATCAAGTGTACAATGTTGATGTTAAATTTTGATTCTGTTAATAAATGACCACATTCATTTTGATGGGTCAAAGAAAATTAACGTCTCATGTCACTGGTTTTTAGACCATCTCCCACACAGCTTCTCTGTCACATATCTGTCAAGTAGCTCGAAAAAGAGAGAACCCGTCATTAAATATTGATTGTAGTGGAGCTCCTACTCTAACTAACCCTACATCACTACACAGCTCATGAAAATCCAAAATGCCTGTCCCAAAAAATTAGCATATCATGAAAAGGTTCTCTAAACAAGCTATTAACCTAACCATGTGAATCAACGACATAACTCTAAACACCTGCAAAAGATTCCTGAGGCTTTTAAAAACTCCCAGCCTTGTTCATTACTCAAAACCGCAATCATGGGTAAGACTGCCGACCTGACTGCTGTCCAGAAGGCCATCATTGACACCCTCAAGCAAGAGGGTAAGACACAGAAAGAAATTGCTGAATGAATAGGCTGTTCCCAGAGTGCTGTATCAAGGCACCTCAGTGGGAAG